ACTTCTGTGGGTGGCAGGCACCACTTCAAAATCTCATCTCGGCTGTGCCAATTTCCACCCCAGCCCACAGAACACAAGAAAAGCACTGCTGGACTGGACCAATAGTCTTTGGGGTCCAGCTTTCCATGGGGATCAGGTGCCCACTTCTGAAATGTGTAGCCAATCACCTTGCTTCTTAACAAGTAGTGGTTGCAGTTTCCCAGCCAGGTGCCCTTCATCTCCCATCGTCCCAGACCATTGGCCACGCTGCCTGGGTTTGATAGGAGTTCTCCTCCAGCATGTTGTGGAGTGGACCATGTTCTCTGCCTCCATTGTCTTCTAACCAGAAAGTGAATTTTCTCTTGTAACTCTTGTGCACTTTTGTGAGGTGAGCAAAAATACCCCCCCCCCCGGTCTCGGACACGGGATGATTCCGGCCTTTATAGCAGACCCACTTGGAAGTGCAGTCTGTCTCTGTGCTGTATGCAGAGACGTATTTCCTTCCTTCCCCCACCTCAGGGCCTGCCATATAAAAGCTCTTATTCCACATCCTTCTCTGCTGTCATTGTGACGAACGTTTTGCTAGTCTGGAATCAGCAGCTGCTCCGTGGGAGAAAACACTTTGACTATCGAGTAACGATGGAGGGTTAAGAGGTTTCGCTGAGAAAGCTATCAGGTGCCAATAAATGACGAAATAAGCATCCCAAAAAGGGGGAAGTGAGCCCAGTAGGATTAAGCTATACAGCAAGGGCAGGTTTGATTACTCTACCTTCCCCTCTCCCTGTTTTAAAGTGTTACCAGTAGGAAATTGGAACAATCTCTGTTTGTGTTATTTCTGCATTTGTGAGGTTGTTCACTTAACCAGTGCAATGACCTGGAATGCTCAGCACCGAGACAGAAAGAGTGACAGAGATTTGATGATTTCATGGAAGAAATTTATGGAACAGCGGCACATTTGCTTTCCTGGCAAAGGATACGTTATGGCAGTTTGGCCAGGACTGGACAGAGAAGGTCTGAGGGACCGTCTCTCCCTATAGGAACTTGTCTGGGCTTTGAGATCCTATGAGGAGACCTTTCTCTTGGTCCTGCCACCTGCACAAACACATTTACTGAGGACACAAGGAATGGCTTTCTCGGTGGCTTCTCCAAGTCTGTGGAACTCCCTTCCACCTGAAGCTAGGATGGTCCCCTCTCTGCTTCCCTTTCGGCGGCAGGCTTAGCTCTCTTCTCTTCAGGCAGGTCTTGGGTCACTAACTGGCTGTTGTGTGGGTATTGCACATTATTTCCTTTTTCATTGTTCTTTTAAATGCTTTTTAGGTGTTTTCAGTGGTGTTTTTAATGGTTATTTATTTATTTCAAATATATATGTTTATATTGGTCAAGTGCTTTTAACTGTATTCATTTAAATCCACACTTTGAGCTGCCTTGGGTCCTGACAAGGAAAAAGCCTTTTTTGTTGTTGTTTTTTTGGTGTGTTTTCTTTAAAGAAAATAAATAAATAATATACTGCTGGCAGCCAGAACACATACATAGCCAGTGACCCAGGAGAATGGGAGTTGTCATCCAGAAACATCTGGAAGGCCACAGTATCCTCATGTTTGAATGAGCGCAATAGGTGATCATGGGGCCTCCTGGAGAGAAGATCACAGCCTTGTTCCTCCTCTAGGCCTGCTGCCACTGGTCTACTGTGACCTAAGCTGTGTTGTCACCCAGAGAATCCACAAGCTGCCAGCAATGCGTCAGGGCTGGAGTCAAACGCAGGCCAGCAAGAAAGGAAGCAAAACTCCAGTGCCAGTGAAATTAACTCTTTATCCAAGGAAACAAAAACACAACTCAGCCTATTGGTCTTAGCAACCCTTGCCTGGAGCAGTTGGCCAGACTGAAGGTCCCCACCAAGCAGCAGAGGCCCTGACGCAGTGAGGAAACCGCCAGAAGGCCCTCGGAGCTGGACCTCAGTGTCCGGGCTGAATGTTGGGGGTGGAGATGCTCCTTCAGGTATACAGGGTCGAGGCTGTTTAGGGCTTTAAAGGTCGGCACCAACACTTTGAATTGGGAGCCAGTGACGATCTAATGTCCTGATGGCTTAGTCCATAGTGGTGCAGCAACTAGGAGACCAGGTGATGAGCACAGCAGTCCCAATCTACTCACCAGGCACTCAGAGCCTTTCATGCTCATGTAAAGCCATGATTTGGCTTGTGGTTAATGTGCTAGCTGGTGCAATATACTGTGTTGCATTTAGCTTATGTGGCTGGACCCACAGTTTTCTTTTTCTTTCTTTTTTTGCCGAGCTTGAGCAATGGAGACGAAATGCACTCACGTTTCTAATGGAGCTGTTTGAGGTTTGAGGCGGTTGTGCTGTGCATTGCAGTTTGTGTTGGAGTACTTTCCCCCGACCAAATGTGTTTGATTAATAAATTAATGAAAGCCGACAGGAAGAACAAAGGGTAGAGCAGACAGTTTCGTGGAGGGTAGCGTTCCTGAGAAACAAGGCTGATTAGTTCATAACAGCAAGCAACAGCGAAGGGTTGACAAGCTGCCAGTCACCCACCTATTAAAAAGAAAACCAAATAAAACCCCACACATGTGCCGTATGGTAGGAGGAGAATGTGAAAGGAATGAGAGATCAGCAGCAGTCCTATTTGGCCATTCGTGAGGTGGAGTGCATGGAGGCCATGTCTCGTCAGCCATGGCCCTGGCTCACCTACCACTCTCCACATCAAGTTAGACAAATTAGAGAGGCAGTGTGGTGTAGTAGTTAGAGTGGGAGCTCTGGAACCAAGGTTCAAATCTCCTCATCCATAAACCTCACTGGGTGATCTTGGGCCAGACCCCACCTATCAACTTAACCATACCTTCTAATAGCCTTACTGCATGCTTGTGAAACATGGACCACTTATAAACGCCATCTCCAACTCCTTGAAAGATTACATCAAAGGTGTCTCCGAAAATTTTTACACATCACTTAGGAAGACAGGCATACTAATGCCAGTGTACTGGAAGAAGCAAAGATCACCCGTGTTGAACCAATGATTCTTCAACATGGACTGGTCATGTTGTTCGGATGGCTGATTATCATCTTCCAAAGCAACTACTCTGTTCCAAACTCAAAAAAACAGAAAGTGTAATGGTGGTGGTCAACAAAAGAGGTTTAAAGACTCTCAAGGCAAATCTAAAAAATATGTAGTATAAACACTGACGATTGGGAAATACTGGCCTGTGAGCGCTCCAATTGGAGAACAGCCTTTACCAAAGGTGTCATGGATTTTGAAGATGCTCAAACTCAGGATGAAAGGGAGAAATGTGCTAAGAGAATGGCACGTTTGGCAAACCCTCACCATGATCAACTCCCGCCTGGAAACCTATGTCCCCACTGTGGAAGGACATGTGGATCCAGAATTGGCCTCTGCAATCACTTAGGGACTCACTGTTAAGACCGTGTTCATGGAAGACAATCTTACTTGTCTATGAGTGATAGCTAAAGAAGAAGACCCTCTAACATTTCTCAGATGAAAATAGGGATGTCCTATGATGATGATGATGATGATGATGATGATGATGATGATTATACCCCCACCCTTCTGACTGGGTTGCCCCAGCCACTCTGGGCAGCTTTCAACATATATAAAAACATAATTAAACATTAAAAAACATCCCTGTACAGAGCTGCCTTCAGATGTCTTCTAAAGGTTATAGAGTTACTTATCTCCTTGGCTCAGGGCCACATAACTCCATACCCTACAACATTTCTCCAATGAAAATAGGGATGTCCTAAGGAAAAGTGGGACATCCCGGGATCAGATCAGAAACCGGGATGGCTTCTGTAAATCTGGGACTGTCCCTGGAAAATAGGGACAGTTGTAGGGTCTGCTAACCTACCTCACAGGGCTGTTGTAGAAAGGGGGCAAACTATGTGACCACCTTGAAGGAGAGGTGGGATGTCAGTGTAAATGTCTTCTGTTCAAGGAGCCTGTTGTAGCTCCTTGTGATTTAAAAGCCTAATCACACAGGGCTCTAAATTATGTGGGGGGCCTACCTGACTATATATATTTGTGTGTGTGTGTGTAATTTTATAATGACAAAATTAAAAGTGAATACTTTAATGCATGAAAAACTGACAAGGAAATGCTTATATAGGACACATGCATGCTTGCAGCCACACACACAAACATGCTACGTCCAATCACTGCTCTTCTGTATTATAAGGAAAGAAATATTGTTTGGCTACACTAGAAGCAGATGGAAATGTGCTCTTTTGTTTTGTTTTTTTGTTCCCAAAGGGTAGAAGACGGATAGAAATAGGGATAGCAGTTAATGGGGTGTACATCCCTCCCACTTTGACCTCCGCTAAACAGGTTTTGCAAAGACACACACAGAGAAAGAAAGAGAGAGAGAGAGAGAGAGAGAGAGAGAGAGAGAGAAAGAAAGAAAGAGAGAGAGAGATTGTACAACCAAATTGGCCAAAGGTGACAGTGGGAGAAAATAATGTACATACATTAGGGGGTAGTGGTGCTTCTTACAAAGCACTTCTGACTCTCTTAGAAATGATTATCCGTCTCCAGGAGATGTAGAAAATATTTTTGCAAAGGGTACAGCAGGACCAATTTGAAATCTGTTGTAAATACTTGGAAACCCACCCCCCATCCCCGCCCAGCAGCCTCCCTTAAAAAAGAAGAAAAAGAAGAAGAAGTAAAATCTTCTCCGCTGCGCCTATGACCTTAGGTTTCCTGGCGACGATAATGTCTTTTGACAACATGCTTGAGAGACTGTGGAACACTAACTGATGAAGGAATCAGAAATTTGCTGCGGAGCAGAGAGAGCTATGCTTTTGGAATTATACATAAGTGCCAAGTTGTGATGTGTCCATGTATATTAGACTTTTCCATTGCTAGCTTTCCATAGGAAAATGCTGGGTTCCTCCCCCCCCCCCCCCCAGTTTAAGGTTTCTTAAGGACTGCAGCCCTCCCTTCCACTTCCCTCGGGCTCCACAATAACCCCAATATAAAGTTCACGTCACATTGAAGTTTCTTTTTTAAAACTTTTTTTAAAAGAGGAATTAGAAGATGTGTACAATTTTCACTTTGGGATCTCCAGCTGTCCAGGACTTAAATACCTGGGTTTGTTGTTGTTTTTTTGCTGGAGGAAAAATAGACATTTGTTTAAAATTCAACTTGTGCTATCCTTAATAGATACACAGAAACATTCCCTGTTCATAAATAGTTTTGGGAATTCTGCTATTCCCGCTTCTTATCCCTGCCACATTTTGAGAAATGGGGAAGCTGGGAAACTTCTGGGTTGAGGCCAAGAAGCCAAATTCTCATATAAGAAGTATTTGGGGGCCTTCTGTTACCTGGCTGACTATGGACTGCAGTTCTTATTCCCTTTGCTTTGTGAGCTCCAGCCTTGTGCTGTGTCCAGCAAGCAGGTCTTGGAATGTGTGGGGCCCTGGTATAAAGTGAGTCCTTCCTTTGGTGAATCTGGCCATGAGGCTGTTGTTTTTCAGACTCACAGCTCCGGGTTCTTTGGTTCCGAGTTGGGGTTGCAGCCTAATTCATCCTCCCTGCAGGTTGCACTACTGACCTGGCCCAGATGGTTCCTCCTCTGTGATCCACTCAAGGTCACAGCCGTGACAACTGTGGGACAAGGGTATGTTCTGAAGGCACACAATGGAGCATGTTTGGAGGCAAGCAGGCCTGCATTTGGTCCGATGGGACAAGATTAGACACCTGGGAGCTCTGTGCTACCTTGACCTCTGTAGAGAAGGAAGATAGGAAGGGGTGGGTGTACAGGATGTAGAAGGGTGTATAGGATGAAGAAGAACAATAGGAACTATGGCAACAACAACAACAACAACTTATACCCTGCCCATCTGGCTGTGCCTCCCCAGCCACTCTGGGCGGCTCCCAACAGAATATTAAAAACACGATAATAAAACACCCAAAATTAAAAACTTCCCTAAACAGGGCTGCCTTCTAAAAATCAGATTGTTGTTTATTTCCTTGACATCTGATGGGAGGGCATTCCACAGGGCAGGCACCACTACTTGAGAAGGCCCTCTGCCTGGTTCCCTGTAACCTCGCAGTGAGGGAGCTACCAGAAGGTCCTTGAAGCTGGACCTGAGTGTCTGGGCTGAATGATGGGGGTGGAGACGCTCCTTCAGGTATACTGGGCTGAGGCCGTTTAGGGCTTTACAGGTCAGCACCAACACTCTGAATTGTGTTTAGAGACTTACTGGGAGCCAGTGATGTGTGTATAATATCCATATGAGATGGATGAGCCTATGGTTGTATTTATGCATGCTCTATTTGCATGTGACTGCACATGTGCATGGTGCTGGGATTGTGGAAGGGAACCTGGAAATGGGGAGCACCCTGGAGAGTCCTGCTGGCTTGCAAGAAGACCCTCCATAGAGCCCAGAGAGAACATTCTCTTTGGGCTTTGGGGAGTGTCTCCTTGTGAGCCGGTGTCTTCCCCGCCTAACAGCTGATTTGCGGGGTAGTGTAGCTGCCGCAGCTGCTTCCCTGCACATCAGCTGAGCAAGCCCCGCTGCCACCCAGCTCGTGCAAGCTGGAGGGGCAGCAGGTCTTCTTGACCAGCTTAGCTGATCTGTGGGGAAGAAGCTGTGCAAGCCCCCTTCTCCTCCAGGGTGCTCCCAATGTACATTATTTTGGTTACACGCGGGGAGGCCCTGAAATGTAATCCTTGTGTAAATTGGGAGTTGCCTCTGCTCTGTAATTCATTCTGGAATCCAGGACCACCGAGTTAGGTCGAGAGGGGGGTGACTGGCCCAAGGACACCCAGAGAGCTTTGTGGCTGAGTGGGGATTTGAACCCTGGTATCCCAGGCTGCTAGTCCAGCACTCTAACCACTATGCCACATCAGCTCTCAGGTTTCTCATATAGTCGCAGGCACATGGTGTTTGCTGTGTGCTGCCTTGCGAAAAACAAATAGCAAGAGGGCATTGATTAAGCTTTCTTGGTTAGTGCTTAACTTTGCACAGTGTGTCAGATAATGATCTTCAGAGCCATTCTTTAATATTTCATGATATTTTGGTCTGTGCTACACATAAGTCAGCTAGAGGTGAATTGCCGTGGGTAACTGGGGTGGGGGAGAGGGAGAACGGCGGTCTGGAGGCTTTTGTGCCAGTGGTCAGCACCAAGATCTTAGTCCTTTAGTGTGTGCAGCCCAGCTAATGAACAAACTGAGCATTCTGCTTGGCAGTAATATTTTGCCTTGCCTTCTTGTCAGCTTAGCAAGGGACGGCTGTCCTAGCCCAGTTCGGCATCTGTGTCAAGTTTCTCACATTTCACGGCACAGCCCACCTTCCATTCACCGGGTGCTAAATTGCCACCAAACCCTGATTGCTGACAACAAAGATTCTGACTTCAAAAACCAGCGAACCCAGCAGACAAGAATGCTTCTTTTATCCCTGGTCATACATTTTTCATTTCCCTCCTATTTAATAAGCTTAAGCCTGGAGATGTAGAATTTGATTTCTTTACTAGGCCAGCCTTCCCCAAAAGTGTCAGGTCTTTTTTTCTCTTTCTTTCTTTCTTTCTTTCTTTCTTTCTTTCTTTCTTTCTGTATTTTTTTTTTTTAAATGTACTTCAAAATCCCTGTGGAATCTTGATGGAAACTTTGATCATAGGCACTGAAAGTTAGCAAGAGTTTTGTCCAATGGCAACATGGAAGGACTTTAATTCCCCATTCTGAGTCCAAAATAGAATGCCTAGCAAATATGAAATGCCTTCAATATAAAATGGGGAAACAGATAAGGAAGCACTGAGCACAGTGGCATCTTGAATCTTCTTCAACTCTTTGGAGCTGAAATGTATAAGGGGGCGATCCATCTGGGAAATTGCACGTACACTCTTGCATGACATTGTAGAGAGCAGATACTTGACAGGTACCATGCTCTGTTTGACACGGCTAAATGCCTCTCTTTTACCCTTTGCTATTAGGTATTGAATTCTGCTTTATCCTATCAAGTGTGTGCATTTCTCCAGACTCTCTACTTCTCTCTCTCCCTTTTTTTCTTTCTGCTATGGTGGACTTTTACAAAAAAACAACAACAACCCCACAGAGTTTTGAAATGCTTTCTTTGTTCATTCATTCATCATTTGGCTGTGGTTACCCATTTACTATGGGATGTGGGTGGTGCTGTGGGTTAAACCACAGAGCCTAGGACTTGCCGATCAGAAGGTTGGCGGTTCGAATCCCCGCCACGGGTGCTCCTGCTAACCTAGCAGTTCAAAAGCACGTCAAAGAGAAAGTAGATAAATAGGTACCGCTCCGGCAGGAAGGTAAACGGCATTTCCATGTGCTGCTCTGGTTTGCCAGAAGCAGCTTAGTCGTGCTGGCCACATGACCCGGAAGCTGTATGCCGGCTCCCTCGGCCAGTAAAGCGAGAAGAGCGCCTCAACCCCAGAGTCGGCCACGACTGGACCTAATGGTCAGGGGTCCCTTTACCCTTTACCTTTACCCATTTACTGGTGGAATCTTGTCTGGGCTACTGCAATGAATTGTAGATGGGGCTGCCCTTTGAAGACTGCTCAGAAACTGCAGCTAGCCTAAAATAGGGTGGCTAGATTGGTAACTGAGGCCAGCTCATGAAGTATATCTCACTAGGCGTAACACCGTTGCACCAGCTCTCAGTCCAATGGCAATTGAATGTGCTGGTTGAAATATTTGAGGCCCGCATGGCTTGGGATTTCTCCTATACAAACCAGTCCAGGTATTAAGATAATCCTGTAAAGCCTTTCTTCAAGTCTCCTCACTTCTGGAAAACAGGTGAGGACAGGAGACAGAGCCTGTGGGACCCCATGTTTATAATAATAATATTTCTCTCTTCCTTTCTGCACTACCCAGCCCCTCTTCATGTAAAGAGCTGGTGAATTTGCCAGCACAATACATTGTAAAGCTTGTAAAGCACTCTTCTATCACTTGAACAGTCATGGCTTCCCCCACAGAATCATGGGAACTGTAGCTCTTTGACGTGCCTCCTAACAACTCTTGGCACCGTTAACAAACTACAGTTCTCGGGAGTCTTTGGGGAAAGCCATGACTGTTCAAGTGGTATAAGGATGCTCTAAAATGTATCATGTGGATGTGGCTGCAGTGGCCAAAAGGCAGCTCTGAATCATTCACAGGTTTTTTCTTTTAAACCCACCCGCATCTTGGTTTTTGTCCTGCTGCTCTGTGCCAGCTCACCTGAGACACCCTCCGGATGAGTGTGATGATGATGCTTGTTACCTGAAGTTCTTCAAGTGACTTACAGCAGATTTGAAATTGTTAATACAGTGGTATCTCGGGTTAAGTACTTAATTCGTTCTGGAGGTTCGTTCTTAACCTGAAACTGTTCTTATCCTGAAGACCACTTTAGCTAAAGGGACCTCCTGCTGCCGCCACACTGCTGGAGCCCAATTTCTGTTCTTATCCTGAAGCAAAGTTCTTAACCTGAAGCACTATTTCTGGGTTAGCAGAGCATGTAACCTGAAGCGTATGTAACCTCAGGTACCACTGTATACCGTATTTTTCGCTCTATAAGATGCACCCGACCGTAAGACGCACCTAGTTTTTAGAGGAGGAAAAGAAGAAAAGCCAGCAAGAGCTGCAGACACGCTCGCTCAGCGCGGCTCTTTAAAGATAGAGTGGCTCTTGCTGGCTTTTCCGGGAGGTGGGAGAAGGGACTGATGAGCTGCCCTCTGTCCCTTCTCCCACCTCCCTGAAAAGACAGAGCAAGCTGCACAGCTATCTCTGAAGCCAGCACAGCAAGAGGGAGAGCTGCGCAGCGGAAGGAGCCCCTTCCGTCCCTCATCCTGCTTCACTGGGAAGCCAGCAGAGCAAAAGGCACTGCGCAGCTCTCACTCTTGCTCTGCTGGCTTCAGCAATAGCTGTCCAGCGCCTCTTCAGCGAAGCAGGATGAGGGACGGAAGGGGCTCTGTGTAAGGGCTCCCTTCAGTTCCTCCTCCCGCTTCGCCGGGAAGCCAGCAGAACAAGAGGCACTGCGCAGCTCTTGCTCTTGCTCTGCTGGCTTCAGCGATAGCTATGCAGCTTGCATTCACTCCGTAAGACGCACACACATTTCCCCTTACTTTTTAGGAGGAAAAAAGTGCGTCTTATGGAGCGAAAAATATGGTAAATACAGTGATACCTCGCGTTACAAACAGCTCGGGTTACAAACACTTCGGGTTACAGACTCTGCTAACCCGGAAGTAGTACCTCGGGTTAAGAACTTTACCTCAGGATGAGAACAGAAATTGCGTGGTGGCAGCAGTGGGAGGCCCCATTAGCTAAAGTGGTACCTCAGGTGAAGAACAGCTTCAGGTTAAGAACGGACCTCCGGAATGAATTAAGTTTGTAACCAGAGGTACCACTGTACATTATAGCATCGAAACGAAACAACCCCCAGGAAGTAGTAGGCAGGGCTAAGCAACCTGATGCCCTCCAGATATTGTTGCACTCAGATGTGCACCAGCCATGCCAGTGTTGGGGGATGATATTCCTGCCACATCTGGAGGACCACAGGTTAACCATCTCTGAACAACACACTGCACATGTTAAATCGCTGTAGTAATCAGGGTTGCAACCTCTAA